GAAAGCTTGGAAAATATCTCCCAATGCTCTTCCTTTGTGAACTCAATTCCATCAGTCTCTGAAATGTGGGAAGGAGGAGGAACCACCTCCCTATAGGTAGAGCATCTAGCTCTCTTAGCTCGACGGAGAGGAACCATTCTACACACATAATTGAAAAATGCTCTAGTGAGTAAAGACTATGAGTCACAAGTATGCATCATGAGCAACAACACTCCAAACCATCGTCAAAAAACAAACTATGCACATTAACATTTCCAAATCAATATAATCAAACTATAATTCCAACAAAGGTGCTGCCAAAATTATAGTATGGTAAAGCAAAATCATCAAATACAAGTTTATATAATCACCAAAATTTCATCATTAACACAACAAATGAAGGAGATAGTAGGCAATATGCATACAACTATGAGGCTATAACCAAATCAATCTAAACACTCATGAACAACCAAGGTAGAAAATTTATCATAAGTATCAATAGAAATGAAGAAATCATACCTTAGATTGATGAGAGTTTACAAAGAAAAGGAACACAAAGCACTAGCAAACAAAATTATGCCAAATTGCAAGCAACAAACCCTAAACTAAAGGGGTACCCAAAAATCCCAATTTAGGAAAGAGAAAATCACAATGAAAGTGTTAGAGTAGGGATTAAGAGTAATAAACAACTAGATGAAGTGAAAAATGGTGAAATTTCAGTAGTAAAATAATGAAGGAAAATGGTGATGATGCTTGAACAATAACCAAGTAAAAATGAAATGAAAATAAGAGAGAGAAAAAGAGAGAAGGTCGGTGCGTTTAAGGGGCATCAGCAGGGGGTGCGCGCCCGCGCCACAGGGGTTGAGGCAAGCAGTTTCTAAACCCCAAGAATGTGGGTTCAACACAAGATTTTTATGAGCCCACCATTTGAACCCACCAAACTTCAACTGTTAAGCATACTTCCAATTCACCAACTTGAGCACTCTCTCTTCAAAATAGGCACCAAAATTGTTGGAAATCCAATCAAAATCACCTAAAAACACAATCAAGACAAGAAATCAAATAAGAATAGAAACAACAAAAAGAAAACAAAATTCAAGAAAAATAGAGAAAATGGTAAGAAACTCGGGTTGCCTCCCGAAAAGCGCTTGTTTAAAGTCATTAGCTTGACGTTCTCCACCCTTCAAGGTGGATCAAAAAGATTCATATCATGAACAACCCACACAAAAACTTCATCATAGTAGCGCTTGAGCCTATGACCATTGACTTTGAAAGTTCTTGAAAAATCCAAAGGAGATAGTTCAACCGCACCATTAGGAAAAACCTCTTGAACAACAAAAGGATCACTCCAACGAGACATTAGCTTCCCAGGAAATAATCTCATCCTAAAATTGTAAAGGAGGACCTTGTCACCAACATTGAACTCCTTCTTCACAATTAGCTTATCATGCACTTCCTTAGTGCGAGTTTTGTACATGCTTGCACAATCATAAGCATCCAATCGAAGTTCTTCCAACTCATGGAGATCAAGCCAACGTTGCTCACCCGCACTTGCCAAATCGAAATTGATTTTCTTTATAGCCCAATAAGTACGATACTCAAGTTCGACCGGAAGATGACAAGACTTCCCATAAACCAAGCGGTAAGGAGTAGTGCCAATAGGAGTTTTGAAAGCCGTTCTATATGCCCACAAGGCATCATCTAGCTTATCCGACCAATCCTTCCTATTTCTTGCTACCGTCTTCTGAAGAATCAATTTGATTTGACGGTCAGACACTTCGACTTGCCCACTAGTTTGAGGGTGATAGGGGTTGATTAACTCCATGTTTCTTCAACATCTTGCGGAAGGCGCAAAATGAGATCCTTTATCACTAATAATTGCCTTTGGGATGCCAAACCGTGGGAAGATTATCTTCTTGAATATCTTCATTGCTACCTTATGGTCATTTGTAGGTGAGGCAATAGCTTCCACCTATTTTGACACATAATAGATGGCAACAAGGATATATTTATTCTCATATGAAGTAGGAAAAGGACCCATGAAGTCTATTCCCCATACATAAAAAATCTCCAACTCTAGAATGGGTTGTTGGGGCATTTCGTTTCTCTTTGAAATATTTCCGATCCTTTGGCATCGGTCACAACTCTTGACAAACTCCCAAACATTCTTGAAAAGATTTGCCCCCCATAGTCCGCATTAAAGCACCTTCGACGCCGTTTTTGAGACACCCATGTGACCTTCACTCGGATCTGAGTGACACATCTTCAACACACTAGGAAACTCCTCATTTGGAACACATCTCCTCAACAACCCATCAACACCTCTTTTATACAAAATCAGTTCATCCCAAACATAATGCCTAGCCTCCCTTTTCAGCTTCTTTCTTCGATTCTTGGAAAATGGAGGAAATTCCCCCACAAGCAAGATAGTTCACCAAATCGGCAAACCATGGGAGTTCCTTCATATCTATAGCATACAAAGAATCATCCAATATCTTATCTTCAATGGGACACCCATCATCTTGAACTTGAAAATCCTCAAGCCTAGATAGATTATCCGCTACCACATTCTTCGCTCCTTTCTTATCTCTAATCTCAAGGTCAAAAGTTTGAAGCTCTAACACCCAACGAATTAGTCTTGGCTTTGATCCCTTCTTCCCAAAAAGGTATTTTAGGGCCGCATGATCGGTGAACACAATTGTTTTAAACCCTAAAAAATAGCAACGAAATTTTTCAAAGGAATGAACAATAGCCAAGAACTCCTTCTCCGTTGTAGTGTAATTCCTTTGAGCTCCATTTAGAGTCTTGGACATATAATAAATCACATGAAGTTTCTTATCAACTCTTTGACCTAAAAATCCTCCAATAGCCGTATCACTTGCATCACACATTAACTCAAATGGAAAATCCCATCTTGGAGCTTGAACAATTGGAGTGGAGATTAGAGCTTTCTTCAACTTATTAAATTCCTCCAAACACTTGTCATCGAATACAAACTCGACATCCTTATGAAGAAGATCATTGAGGGGCTTTGCAATGAGTGAAAAATCTTTAATGAAACTTCTATAGAACCCGGCATGGCGCAAAAATGATCTCACACTTTTCACATTGATCGGAGGTGGAAACTTTTTGATAACCTCAATCTTCACCTTATCAACCTCTATGCCCTTGTGGGAAATTTTGTGCCCAAGGACTATTCCTTCTTCAACCATGAAATGGAATTTTTCCCAATTCAACACCAAATTCACTTTTCTCACATCTTGCCAAACACTTTTTAAGATTTTCGAGGCATGCTTCAAAGGAAACTCCGCCTACGGAAAAACCATCCATAAACAACTCCATCTCCTTCTCTAACATGTCTCCAAAGATACTCATCATACACCGTTGGAAAGTGGCGAGAGCATTGCATAGGCCGAATGGCATTCTACTATAGGCAAAGGTACAATAGGGACAAGTAAAAGTAGTTTTCTCTTGGTCATCCTGATGAATAGGAATTTGGAAAAATCTCGAATAACCATCAAGGAAAAAATAGTACTTGTGCCTCGTTAGTCTTTCAAGCATTTGATCAATGAAAAGAAGGGGAAAATGATCTTTCTTAGTGGATGTGTTTAGACATCTATAGTCTATACACATCTGCCAACCAGTGACCGTCCTTATTGTAATAAGCTCGCCTTTTTCATTCTTGACGACGGTCATGCCTCCCTTCTTTGGAACGACATGAACGGGTGAGACCCATCTAGAGCTTGAGATGGGGAATATGATTCCCGCATCTAAAAACTTAGTAATCTCTTTCTTCACTACCTCCCCCATTTGGGGATGTAATTTCCGTTGTCGTTCAATAGAAGGAAGGGCACCCTCCTCAAGGGTTATGTGGTGTGTACATAAAGCGGGGCTTATACCTTTGAGGTCATCAATGGTATAACCCAAAGACCTTGGTGCTTTCTTAAAACACCATATAACGCTTGATCTTGGCTTTTACTCAAAGATGCGCTAACAATCACGGGGTAAGTAGAATTTGGGCCTAAGAATTCATACCTTAGGTGTGATGGTAAAGGTTTGAGCTCTACCATAGGAACACCTTTACCTTCCTTGATCGAAGCCGCTTGCAAAGCCTCTTGGCTTGAGATTTTCATGAAAATTTGCTCATCACTTCCCTCAACGCTTCCATTCAACAAGCTCTCATACAAAGCCATGTCCTTTCTAGGAGCACCTATCTTTTCCTTGTTCAACAAAACACACTCAAGAGGACCATTAGTTGTGAGCAAGTGCTCATGCATTGAATGTACAAGATTATCTAAGATTTCAACTCTCATGCAGTTCTCAAGAGATGAAGAAGGATATTTCATACTTTCATTCAAATCAAATTCAACTCCCTCATCTTCAATTTTAAGTGAAATCTTAGCACTTTGACATCAATCAAAGCACCCGAAGTAGCAAGAAATGGTCTACCAAGAATAATAAGAATTGTAGAATCCTCATCTATGTCAAGGACCACAAAATCAACCGGAATGATGAACTTTCCTACCCTTAAGGGAACATCCTCTACCTTGCCCCTTGGGATCCTAATTGATCTATCGGCTAATTGCAAGGTAATGTTGGTAGGTAAAAGTTCTCCCTTCTCTAGTCTTTGATATACCGAGTATGGCATAATGCTAACACTAGCTCCTAAATCACACAAGGCATTATCAATTTTCATTTTATAAATATCACAAGGGATAGAAAATTTTTCGAAATCCTTCAACTTGGGTGGGATTTTGTTCATTATGATTGCACTACAATTCTCGGTCAAGTTAACCGTTTCCGCCACATCATATGTTATTTTTCCACTCAAAATCTCCTTAAGGAACTTTGCATAATTTGGCATTTTCTATCACATCGGTAAAAGGAAGAGTAAGATGAAGTTGTCTAAGCATCTCTATAAATTTTCCAAATTTCTCGTCTAGCTTGTGCCTATTAAACTTTTGGGGGTAAGGGAGCTTAGGTTTGTAAACTTCTTTTTCTCTCTCCTTCACCTTCTCAACTTATTCCTTATTGACTTCCTCAACTAAAGTATTCTCATCTCCCTCATTCTCAATTTGGCCATTGCTAGGACTATCTTTAGCATCACTCTTCTTAGAGATTTCACTCTTAAGGACCCTACCACTTCTAGTCACAATAGCATTCATAGGGCTCTTAAGATCTAAGCTTTGTGAAGTCAAAGAAGAAAGATTTGTAAATTCCTTAAACTCATTAGCCAATTGAGAAATTTGGTTCTCTAACCCCTTATGGCAAGTTAACATGTCATTGAATTTCTCATTGCTTAGGGTCATGTAGATGTCCAACAATTTGGCTTGATTCTCTATGACACCTTCCAAGAAACTCCTACAGGAAAATGATTGATCATACAATGCCAATTATCACTATGCTCTTGGGTATTCGGAACAAATCCAAGTGGGGCATCGCTTTGACCATTCGATTGGAAATTTCCCCTATTTTGATTGTTCCAATTACCTCTACATTTATTTTGGCCACTATCGTGATTATGGTTACCATAACCTTGGTTATAGTTCCCATATCCTTGACCATGACTTTGACCATTATAACTATGGTTGTTATAGCTACCACAATTCCCTTGGATTCCATGGTTTCTATAACAGCCATTTTGGTTATAATTGTCATAATTCATTTGGTTGTGATAATTCCTATTTCCAAATTTCTTTTGAGCATCAAATCTAGATCCAACATTGTTATTAGCAACTAAGTTCACATGTTCATTCTCACTCCCAACATATTCATTACAAGGAACATTAGGGCAAAAAGAAGCATCATGGTCATTCATTCCACACAAATCACAAAACCAACATTCTCTAATCATGCAACAAGAAGAAGGAAGAGAGTTAGAAGAAATAGTACCTTTCCCCCTTAATTTGGGAGGGAAGAATTGGTGCTTGTGAGGTCGCGCTCTCGAGCTTATACTTGATAGAAACTACCTCCTTTCCTAAATCCGAAATTTGAGTCGAAAAATTGTTGATAGCATTGAGCATCCCATTGTACTACTCTTGTTTATCTACTCCTTGTCACCATCTTGCCATTCCATGTAGTTTCTAACTACATCCTCAATGATACCTACAACCTCTTCCTCGGTCTTATTCATGATTGGGCCTCTGGCTCCGGCATCTAGACTTGCTCTCCCTTGAGGACTCAAACCGCCATAAAAAATTTAAATGATTAGGTAAGTGGGGATCCCATGGTGAGGACACTCACGTTGATACTCTTTCTATCTATCCCATGCTTCATAAAGACTTTCACTAGACTTTTTCTTGAAACCTTGAATCAAAGCTCTTGCCTCCGCCGTTTTCTTTTGAGGGAAGAAACGGGAAAGGAATTCCTTGGTGACCTCATCCCAAGTTCTCAAAGACTTAGGCTTCACTTCCTTATCTAGCCACTCTTGAGCTCTTCCAATTAGAGAAAAAGGAAATATCTTAAGCCTTATGAATTCTTGAGCTACCCTGCACACCTTAATTGTGTTGCAACATTTCTCGAATTCCTTAAGATGATTTAGGGGGCTCTCATTAACTCCTCCACTATATTGCCTCCTTTCAATCAAAGTTATCATTGTCGGCTTGATTTCAAAGTCACTATCCGGGATTAATAATGGAGCAATCCTGCTCTCATACTTGTATGCACCCGGAGTACCCAATTCCTTCAATGTAACCCTTTGAGCTTCTCCCATGTTCACTTGCACACACAAACACTAGTATAAAAATACAAAAAGGCACCCCCTAATTGGCACCAGTTCAGTCCAAAACGGTGCCAAAAATAGCCTTAAAACATGCCGGTCTAATGAACCAAGACATATGGCACCGGTTCATTTCAAACCGGTGGCAAAAAATAAAGCCCACCGGTTTGAACCGGTGCCTTTATTTAATAAAAAAACTGCTCCTTTATAATCACCCCCAACCCTAATTTTACAAGCCAGCCTCTCTCTCTCCTCTTCTCCTCTTTCTCTCTCCTCTCCTACTCTCCTCCTCTTTCACGATCTCCTTCTCTCTACTATTTCTCTTTCTACCTCCTTCTCCTTTCTTTCTTTCATTTGAAGACCACCAACATGTAACATATGGGTTTTTTTTTTCTCGAGTTTAATTTCAATTTCTGGGGTTGTGTTTTTCGATTTAGATTTTTTTTTTTCGAGTTTGATTTCAATTTCTGGGTTTGTGTTTTTCGATTTAGATTTTTTTTCGGTTTTTTTTTTTGTTTTTCTGATTTTGATTTTGGACTTTTGATTTTGATTTTTGTTGTCTGATTTTGATTTTTGTTTTTCGATTTTGATTTTCGATTTTTTCAGGGTTTTTTTATTTCAATTTTTTTCGTTTTTGTTTTATTTTAATTGATTTCTGGGTTTTTTTATTTGTTCGTTTTTGTCTTTATTTTTTTGATTTCTGGGTTTTTCAACTTTTTATTTTTGTTTTTCAATTTTTATTTTTGTTTTTCTTTTTCTTCGATTTTGATTTTTGTGTTTCGATTTTTACTTTTGGTGTCTGATTTTGATTTTTGATTTTTTTTTCGATTTTGATTTTTGTTTTTTTTTTATTTTGATTTTTGTGTTTCGATTTTTACTTTTGTTGTCTTATTTTGATTTTTGATTTTTGTTTTTCGATTTTGATTTTCGATTTTTTCTGGGTTTTTATTTTAATTGTTCGATTTTATTTTTATTTTTATGATTTCTGGTTTTTTTTTCATTTTTTTTTTCTAGGATTTTGTTTTAATTTTTTCAATTTTTTTCGATTTTGTTTTGATTTTTTGATTTTTGGGTTTTTTCGATTTTGTTTTTATTTTAATCGATTTTTTTTTCCTTTTAATTGATTGTGATTCGATTTTTTTTATTTTCTGGGTTTTTTTTTATTTTTTTCGCAGCTTATTCATTTTAATCAATTTATTTTTGATGTTTTAATTGGCGCATGTATACATAATCGAAGAATCAAGAATCAAGAATATGAGGATTTTTAGATTGTGATGTTGTAATAGTTTTTTTTGATTTATATTGTAGTAATTTTTTTTTTTGATTTATATGTTGTAATTTTTTTAATTTATATGTTGTAATTTTTTTTATTGATCTATGCTGTAAAATTTTATTGATTATATATATATTAAACAGAATCGTTTATATTGATTGTGATGTTTGATTTGTATTTTGTGTTTTTATTTAATTTAGTTTATTTAATTTTTAAGCAAAAAAAGACAAAAAAAAATTAATTTTGTTGGCACTTTTGGCACCGGTTAACCGGTGCCAAAGTCATTGAATTAATTTTTTTGGCCATTTTTGGCACCGGTTAACCGGTGCCAATTCCGAGTTTTTGCACCGGTTCGAACCGGTGCCTTTTAAAACCCCTTTTTGGCACCCCCCCCCCCCCCCACTTTGGCACCGGTTCAAACTGGTGCCTTAGGCCGGGTTTGAACCGTTGCCAAATTCATTTTTTCATGTAGTGAAACTCAAACAAAATTATTAGTAGCACGACTACAAATGTAGCCTAAAGAAGAAAATCTTTTTTGTATTTTCAATTTTTTCTGAAATAGACTCAACAACAATAGCAATCATCTACGCCATTCCCCGGCAACGGCGCCATTTTTTATCTAGGTCGAGACTAGGTCATTGAAAACTAATCTGCCCTTGGTCAAAACACAATTTATAATCTCTTAACACACCCCTATACCTAGCATAGAGTAAGTCGAGGGTCGAACCACTAGGAATGGGAGGTGAATGCAAAAGTCAAAACTAAGCTATTTCGAAGCAAATGAGGTGAGGTGTGTCTATTCTACCAATCAAATAACTGAAACAAAATCAAATTTATCAAGCATTAGGGTATGGATCCACATATACTCGTAATTAATTCAACTAATTGGTATTGGAGATAACTAAGTCAAGTGTTGCGAGGGAAAATCGATTAAGCAATCAAGAGAATATGGTAGGCTAATCTCCTAGAGGTCAAACTAGCGCCAACTACGAGAGACTCTAGCTAGGAAACTTGCAAACCTACTCAATCAACAAATATAAGCCACAAATCAATTTTCCATATCAATGTGAACCTACAATGCAATCTAGTATGAGAAACTTAGGTTAATCACTCCTAAATTAAAGACACATTTGCACATAATCAATCAACCAATTTAATCACAACATCAACTCCATCAATTTCTCCTAATTAGCATAAATCAATTACTCATATATGCTTCACCAATTCCCTAGCAAGACAACTACTCACTATTCATGGAAATCATTATCAAAACTAAACTAAACAACAAATTCATCATCATCATAATAATAAAAAGTATACCAATTAAAAAATCAATCAACTTGAACATTTAACAAAGAAATTGAGATCAAAACAAAGATTGCATTAAAATAAAGAAATCCTTACAAACTTGCTTCAATTCAATGGAGACAAACACTTAGAATCATCAACATTCAATCATCAATCAAGAACTTCTCTCTCTACAAACTAGAGTTTCTCTCTCTAAAAATCTAACCTAATTCTATTCTAATTTCTGAAAAATTCAACTCCCCCTAAAAATAGAAAGAAAATCTATATATAGTAAAACTAGCTAAGAGAAATTAGTTAGATCGTCCCCAAATAAACCCGAAAAAGTGCGGCCAACTACAAGAGAGAGAGCGGCCGCACAAATCTGGGTACGGAACAGTGACCTGAACAGGTGCGCCCGCGCCCGAGAGATGCGCGCCCTCTCCTGAGAGAGACGCGCGGCCGCGCCACCATGCTGCGCGCGCCCACGCCTAGGAACAGGGCAGCCATCTTCCCTATCATTCCGATCATTTCCTTTATATATATACTCCCTCCGTTTTTAAATACTAGATTCACTTTCCTTTTTCGGCCAATTTTAAATACTTGCTCCATTTCCTTATTTGGAATGATTTTACAATATTTAATTCATTTCTCTCACCTAGTGGACCCAACCTAAATCATATTTTATTAATTTCATATTCTCTCTCCTCCAATTCTCTCTATTACTTTTTCTTTTTACAATTTTTTTATTCTTCCACTTACCCCACTACCTCCATATTTTATCAATTTCTCCTAAAACTCCGCGCATGGAGAAATGGAGCAAGTATTTAAAAACGGAGGGAGTATATATATATATGTATATAGTATATACATATATATATATGTATATATATATATATATATATATATAGATTGTGTATCCTAAAAAACCAAACTCGATGATGAGTATTTTCACGTCTTTTATTATCAAATAAGATGAAATGTTGAAAAGTCTCGTGAATTTTCCTTTTCTAAATTGTTTTAAATGCAAAATAAATCATTTCGTATTTAGAAAATCATTTATTTTGTGTCCTATTTATAAAAACTCATCCAATAGATTTTAGTTTGGTCCATAATCAGGGTCCAATAATTGCGTAATTGGATGGGGTTTGAAAAGATTTTTACAATGATATATTATAAACCTAAATCTGAGTTATAACGAGGAAGTTATGGCCAAAATACTAAACTAGGCCCAATCGAGCTTTATATGCGGACCCAATGATCATGTAAAGAGTCTCTTAAACTTAATTTAATTCCTAAACCAATAAGGATTTATTAAATTATAAGCTTCTAGAAGTCTCTAGAAAGTTCTAATCTATCCTTTTCAAAAGATAAAGATCAATAGTGTTAAATTGAGTAAAATAACATATATTTGAAAGTCCTAATTCTATTCGAATTCAAAGACGGTTAGATATTATTTTCATGCCTTAATATTTTTATCCAAATCTTAGATGGTTGGATATCCCTTGAAATTATCTTTCCAATGATATACTATAATCCTAAT